AACCATTTTGATTTTCATAAGACTTACGGAGAAGGTATCTGTTGAATTTAGCGTGTTGTTGAAGCAACAAATGGTGATGAAACTCGGTGACGAACGCTTCTCAAACTTTGTGAAACTAGATGAGTGGAGAAACATTTAGCCATTAGAGTATTTCGACAGTTTTTTTCCTCAATTACTATGGCACTGAAATATTTGAAAGAAACAGCTGATGCAGAGCCTACTGCAATATGCCGAGCTTATCAAAAATCAATCATGGATATTGAGTTTGCTGTAGCTTTGGTCATTGTATCAAGGATTTCCTCGCTTACCAAGCCTTATTCTGAACAATTACAGGATCCTAAAATGAATTTAGCCGTCTGCTACGAGAAGATCGAAGATCTTTGTACGTACCTAACTGAATAGCTCAACAACGATTATTACCATAAAAAACTGTACAACGATTTTATTTTATTTCTTGATGAACAAAATATTAGTCGAGAACCAGAGCTGGGCAAGTACAGACTTTCTCGAGTACGAGTACGAGTACGAGTACTGACCCCCCGAGCACGAGTACAAGTACGAGTAATGACCCCCCGAGTACGAGTACGAGTACGAGTACTGACGCTCGAGTACGAGTACGAGTACGAGTACAACAAAATCGTACTCGAGTACGAGTATTTCGAGTACGAGTACAAGAAAAGTCGTACTCGAATACTAGTGCCAAACCAATACCAATGTGTAAACAGGACTAGGACGCCTTAGAATAATTTTTCGAACAAGTAGACTTAATGCTCTAGAATATGCTGCGTTCAGCCCTAAATAGAATATTATATGCGTACAAAATCGAAATACTACTTTTATTTTATTTTATTTTCATTTTCAAATCAATTAAATCACAACAAAAACTTATTACATTTCAGAAAAGTGAGTAAACAAACATTGTTTGCAGTTAATGACGCACGATGTGGACGCATAATGAATCCACTTTGAGAAAATACTCTTTCTATGGGAGCCGATGTTGCCGGTACTGACAAGTATTTTAGAGCTAATTCATATAAACGCGGATACAAATGTTTCTTATTGAAAAGTAAATTAGGCTCACGACTTTCTTCACATAAATAGGCGTCCAGCTCAATCAAAATTTTTGATTTATCTTCACTAACAACTTTTTTATTTTTATTTAAATAAGGAAAAAGACATTTTCGTTTAGTTAGAGAATCCGTGTTCTTCATGATAATATCAAAACTAACGTCAGCTGTGTTCGGTACATCGGCTTCCATATTCTGTGGCACAGACAAATTTATTTTAGAAAAAAAACGCACATAAGCACCACGAATTTTTTCAAGAACACGTAGTTTAACAACTGTATCAAGATTATCAAGCCATAACAATTTAAAACGAGCATCTAGAAGTGGTGCAATAAGGAAAATTAAATCGGAAAAACGTTCAGACATACTATAAGTATCAAAAGGTACTTCGATTTCGAAATGACGAAGAAGACCACTAAACCGAGCTTTGATTGATTCAATCAAGGCTTTACATAAAGAAGCAAGAATTAAAGTAGCCGAAGAAAGTTCACGCTCTAGATCAAAAAGAAGACCAAGAACCGTAGGAGCCACAAGAGAAATTGTAGCATAGGATTCACCTTGAGTTAACACAGTAGCTTCATCAAATAACTCAAATAAAGATACAAATTCTTCTAAAATTTTTCTGTCTTTACTATTAAGTATAAGATCAGTTTTTTTCAAATCAGTTAATATTGAGTTAAGTGTTGATGTTGGAATTTCAGTAACTTTCTTTACTGTTAAAAACTGGCTGTTCCACCTGGTACGGTTAGCCCGTGGAATAGTTAATTTGAACTTCGCTAATTGTTCTGAAAAACCAGTGCTAGTATGAGCAAGTTTCGCCAAACTTGCTACTTTTTGAAGTGAAGATATAGCTACAGCACTGGCTTTTATTCCATCATTGACAACCAATTGTAGACAATGACCAAAACATGGTATACGTAAATATTCTTCGCTTGTTGAATTTAATGTATCTTGATAAATAGAATCATCAGTCTGATGCAATTCTAATTGTTTTTCTTCACCAGGTACAGGCATAAAATCATCATCTTCTTTATCACTAGAATCTGATTCAGTTGAATCATCAGAAATGTTCTCAAAATAATCATCAAATCCCGGTAAAACAATATTATCAAATGCAGCCAGGTTGTTACTGGCGTTATCAGTTATCAATCGGACAACTTTATCTTTTAAATTGTAAAGCTGTATTATCCGATCGAATTCTTCTGCAAGCTTATCACTTGTATGCTTGCCTTCTAGTCGTTCAAATGAAAGTAAAAATGTTTTATATTTATCATTAATAATTGTATGAAGCGTGACACCAAAATATGAACGCATACAACGATCACACCATATGTCGAGTGTGAGACTAACATACTTTGCTTGAGCACATATTTCTTTTAGTTTTGATGAACATTTCTTTTGTAATTCAGGTAAAAATACACGTGTAAGATCACGTCTATTAATAGGTTTATATTTAGCATCGACATCATTTAAAAAGTTTTTGAACGATATATGATCGACAATAGACAATGGAAGACCCATATTGATAATAAGATTTTGAATAATGCTGTTGGTTATTTGTTTTTGTTTTTGGTTATTCATAGAATCTAAATTAATAAAATACTTTGTTTATTGTACATTCATAAGGACCAAAGCGAAACACTATATACATTGATATTCCTTTACATCAAATATTAGCTTTATTATGATATGATATTTATTTAGTATAAACATCAAGTATAAGTTGCCATTTTTCTTTTTCTGTTATTCCTTCTCAAAACATGCACAACATCTTTTCAAAAACAGAAACACTTACATTTTTCACCTGTAGTAGGAAAAATGTTATTTATTTGTGGTTGAGTTTTATTTTTCACTGGTATATTTTGATTTTTCTTCCATTCTTCATGCATAGGTTGATGCTTGTTCTTTAAGTGCTTTATAAAATTTGAAGTCGTTTTATATGTATCGTTGACATTTGCAGAGCAGTTATTACATTTAGCAGACCATCTATTTTTTTCCACATCGATACATAAATTCGAGAAAAAATATTTAATAACTGGTGGATAATGAGCATCATCACAAATAATAATAGTATTCGCATCAGAATTATCTTCAGGTACAGCTGAGTTGGTAGCCATTATAAATATCGATCAGCAATAAAAATCAGTAATGAAATATTAACATGAAAATAAAACGAGGATAAAGACAACAATAAATAAGAAGTTGTTGAAAATAATGATACAATAACAATAACAACGAATAAAAGTTTGTTCAAAATATTATTAAAATAGAATAGAAAAATACTAAGATTGTTATTCATAAATTCATTATGGCAACAATAACTACGATCAGTTAGTTGAAAGCAAATGCCAAAATAGCAGCAATTATTATAAGACACTTGTTGATAAATATTAATCCAACAGCAATAAGAATAAACCAAAAAGAATAACAACGAGAAAGCCTTTCGAAACGACTAGAATTAGTTATTATGATTTGAAGAAAAACAAAAGAAACAAACTTTTTGTATTATGTAAACACCAATCGCTTAAATAGCGCTAGTAAAACAAAATAAATGAGCCAATTAAAAGATAGGATAGCATGATAGAAATATGACGACTATTACATCACTTTATATCGTAAAAATGTTCACATTTATTTGCATCAATCGAAATAAAATATCAGTGTGTGCTTCTTGTTTGAAGAGTACGACAAAATCATATTTTTCGTTCAAAAATGTTTGTTTAAAATTCGAAAAAAGCTCGAGTACGAGTACAAGTACGAGTACTGACCCTTCGAGTACGAGTACGAGTACGCCAAAAATCGTACTCGAGTACGAGTACTTCGAGTATTTTGCCCAGCTCTGTGTAATGCTGGTGGTAATATCATTGATGGTAAAATTTAATTCGACTACACCATTGATCATAATTTTTGATTGTTCATCGCCGAGTATCGTTGTTGCCTGATTCTAGTGAATTGTTATGCGTAGAATGTGCTCAAGTTCAGATTGTGAGATGAGTAATGTAATTGCTCCTGCATCGAATACTGCG